TATTAAAAAAAAATATTCATAAGTAAGGTAAAAATTTAAAACCGAAAGATCCCTTAACTAGGGAAACTATATGAAGCTTCAAACTTTTAAACTGCTCTCCTCTAAAATTTGCGTTTTGGAGTTACGGGATTATACGTAGGGAGTGACGATATAATGATACCTCTCAATGGATCATCATTCTTTCCTTTCAAATATGTTAAGCGAGAATCTGCTACACTCATTACGTTTAGATGTTTTTTACTGTTCTTATCGTGCTTAATCAATTCATCTGAAAGTTGAATATTTTTGTGAGCACATAAAATATTGTACATTATATTATAATTTATATGAATATATTAAGAAAATAAAGCTGAAGAGTTATGAAAACAACCTGGTTGAAAATGATGATTCGATGAATTTTCAAATCTATATGAAAGTTCTTCACGCTTTTTTTTGTTTTCGAGCAATTTTCCAATATGCTCAAATTCTTTTTTATGAGAATTATCTGTTGTAAAAATATAATAGTTTTTTGATAATTAAATAAAAAAAGTTTGAAATCAAGAAAATAAAAAAATAGCAGTTATTGTAAATGAATAATTACTCTTTTGTAAGTCATTGGCATAAGTAAAATGTGATGTTTTCTCATTATTAGTGTTTTCTAGCAACTTACGATTCCCTTCATTTTCCTCACTCTCGCTGTCGCTACTTATGACGTTTTGTATTCCTTTATAGTTTCCGTAATTCTCTTTTCTTTTTTTACTTTCTTTTCTATTGAGATTGAGAGTTAGAGTATGTATATTTTCTGAAAAAATATAAAATATATAAATCAAATATCACGTAAATTAAAAGAAAGTAATCTAAATCTCGGTTGTCACTTAGTCTCCAAGTAAGTAAAACAAAATGAGATACACGTATTTACTTGACTTTGAAAAATTAGAACTCTCCGAAGATTTCAGGGATCCATCCGTATCTTGAAAATTACTTGAATTGTTACTAGGATTGTTGTTTACATCACCAGATTTATGAATACAATGAACAATTTTGTTATCTTTATGTATGCTTCTACTATCATCTCGACTATCATCACTGCAATTCCAAATTTCCGTATTTTTCTCTTCTTTTACTGTGGAAAGATAAGATTCAGACTCTCGAAGCAGGCGTCTTGCCACACTTCTTGATAAGATAAGATCACTTTTTTGACGTCCTCTTTCAGAATCTGAATCTGTAAATTCTAATGTTTTATAGGGTCGAAAAAAAGCGCGGTGAAGTCGACGCAAACCTTGTTCGTAATTAGCTAGATATGAAGAAAAGTTGTCAATTGCATAAGATTCTTTATAAAAAGAGCTAGCTCATTGAATATTTACCTGCAGATCCTAAAATTTTGTAATCAGAATATTTTTGCCAATATTTATCGGGCTCAATTTTTCTTTCCACCCATTCTTCTAATCGTGACCAATGTTCTTTCAATNGGAAATAACAATAATCTCGATGATCTTCAGTACGTATCCAAGAACTAGGAATAAATTCAATGGCCAATTTGCCATCACTTGTTGTTTCATTTAAAAATTGAATGATTTTATAANCATGATCTGGATTGTCCATCCTGTCAAATCACTTAGAGATATTAAAAGTAAAAACAAAAAATTAAAAAAAATATATAATATAAATTATTCAGAAGAAAAAATAAAACAACATTAATATACTAGAAATCATAAAAAGAAATAATGAACTTCTACATAAATAACAATCCAATAAACACAAACGATTGATGATGAACAACAAACTCTNACCGGCACGTACTTGCACGTACTTTGCGTCTATCAATCATCTTTTGTTTTCATTAATAGCTTTTGGCAGGACAATGATACCAAAAGAAAGTACCGGACATGTTTTCGTTAAAACATAGTTTCGTCTATTGACTATTTATTTTTCAATTTCATTAACCTCTTGCATAAACTCTTTTGACGAGTCAGAATTTCTTGTGGTCACAATTCCGGGCCAAAAATGAATCACAAGTTAAANTCGTGACGAGTACAGATTAAATATAAAAAAACAAGAAAAATACAAACAGAATGTTATTTTGGCTTATTTGGCTAACATCATTTTTCACTTTGGCCCGTGTTTTGCCAAACTAATTGGTACGGTAAGAGGTTAGGTTAGGTTAGTAGAGAAAATATTTACATTATGTACAATAAACTGGCCACTTATACGTGTATCCACTATCTCCTGTAACTGTGTTATATATCACTCTGTTGTATATCAGTCTCTTCCACAATTATATTACTCGAACACTTCTTCAAAGAATACTCGTTCGTTTGTACACTTATTCGAAAACTCACTTGCTGTACTTTTTTGATGTTGTATATAATAATCTTTTGACGCAATTTGAAATATCATACACTCTGTTTCTTTTCTGAGGGAAGCAAACGAAAACTTTGTCTTCTTCGCGCATATNCCTTATCAGAAAACCTTCCTACAGCCATTGGCTGTCAGCAAGTATCCCGCCAATCCTGCGCGCAGCGCTATCCCCACTGTGTTCGCTTTGCTTCTCTTATGCGCAGACCGAGGAGCACGTTCGAGGAGCGCGCTATTGCGTCATTCTATCGTTCTTCTACATTTAACGAGCAATAAAGATAGAGTGATGGAATAGCTCAGAGGCGCGTTCTTTAAACGCAGTCTAAAGATATTCTCTCATCAAAAAGAATATAAATACAACTGTACAATGAGGAAACAACAAACTCAAACCGGCTTGTTATCATAACCATCTTTTCATGAGTCACATGCACGATCACATGATTAACGTCTAGCGGGACAATCATAACAAACAAAAAAAATTGAAGTATTTTTATAAAATAAATTTGGCGCACCATAAATTGTAAATCTTGNTGTAATATAAACGTTTGAAAAAACTTTTTGAATTTCTATCACACATCATCGTTTTCTACTCTCACTATATATATATCTCTCTCTTTAACTATTTTTTACAAAACTTTTATTACTATATTTACATTATTGTTTTAAATCACATATAGTGTTTTTTTTCTAGTCCTTTTACAAAATGTGCTGAAGAAATAAAAAAAATAAAAACATCATGCGTGAAGTAGAGATAATGTATATAATTCACCTCTATTCTTTATAAAAACGCACTTGCACTTAACTTTCTCAAGCGTATACCAATACATCGATGAACTAAATGTTCGAATTTTTAATACACCACCTTCAGCCGACGGATAAGGCGTTGTGAAGATATTTTCGTGATTTGTATCTATATAACCTTGAATATAAACATCTTCTGATCTTGTCACATTAACTTCAATTGTTTGTTTTACCACTATGAGTTTTATCAAAACGATTTTCCCGGAATGCAATTGAACCACATTATTAGGAGGCACATCACGAATTGTCATTTCATTCAATTTTATGGACTGAATTGGTATCATTTGTTGGTCATTGATTTTGTAAATTATCATTTTTCTTTTTAGAATACATTGGTCTATCGTTTTCTTTTTTTTTTTATTCTTACATTTTCTGATTTGTTCAACGCTATAAGTCGATTCACAATTTGAGCGAGTGGTTTTGCACGACCACTAACCAGAGTTTTGAATTTGCCAATATAATTCTCGCCCCAGAATGCAGAATATTCAGGCAACGAAGATTTAAAATGTTTGACATCATCACTCAGATGAATGAGGTTGTGCACATGCAACACCTGCGAATCCTGGCCATAATATGTCGGCATTAAATAAACAAATTTTTTCAACAATTTTTCTGCACTATCTGCATAGGGTATCGCCAATTCTTTACTGCAAAGAATACCGCAGGCTACATATAGATGAAGAAAATGAAGATATTCATCATTAGGCAATATTCTTTTAAGAGTAATAGCTCCAATATATAGCAGAACAAATGAAAATTGAGTAGCTTTCCAGCGCGATATTTGGTCAACATCAAATTCCTTCTTCTGAAACTCCAAGGGAACATATGGAGAAACTTTTTTCATTATTTTTTTAAATGAATTAACCTTTTGTATTCCTAAAGCAAATTTACTTTTTTTATCGATCCACCTCCAAAGCATACTCTTCATCAAATTTAATAGCAACAAATGCATCATTTCCAGAAGAAAATCTTTAATTGGGTCAACTTCAGGTATTCTTAAGATTGGTGATAGATCATCACTTGGTTGATGTTCAGTATCTACTTTTGAAACGAAAGATTTTTTGGTCCTTTTTTTACAGTCAATTTCAGGATACACTCGTTTTTTATTTCGTGTTTTGCCTACAACTACATAACGTTCACAGGCAGAGTAACCAGTAGGACCTTTTATGCATTTGATAAATGCTCTGGCAGGACTATCAGCAATGAACGCAACAATTCTTAAAGAATATAATTTCCCATTCAAACTCAACCCATCAGTAATTAATTCTCTAGCTTCTTCTACAAAATCGTTCATAAAATTCTGGACACTTTTCGGTTTAGAATCTCCATAATATAAAGCTGCCACGAAAGGAGTACACACGTAGTCTTTATGGAATAGTTTGATTAGTATAGGCCAGAGCTGGCCTGTTGAATTATGGTAAACTGTCATACTATCTATATGGATCAATAGATTTATATGGTTCTCTTCATATATTTGTAAATCTATCAATTTATTTAAACCGTTTTTAATCCCTAAATATATATATTCACCAACCGTATCTTTTTTCGAAATTAAACTTTGAGTTTTAATTGAATGAGGAAATCCTAAGAGTGTACTGGCACTTGCTGGTAACTCGATATACCCTTCACTCCTCAAGATTTTTAAAATGATAGTCACTACAACCAGATCCATTCTGCCAATATTGTTAACCGCCCACTTCAATACTTTGTCTTTCATGCTTTCTTTAATTACTTCTGTAATNTGCTCACTATGATTANTAACGGAGGATTTGTCAGCAATGTCACTGGAACTTTNTCCTCGATGATCTTGTATATTATCACTATAATTCTCATCATTACTACTCAGAAAGTCTCTTTCAGTAATATTCTCTGAATTTTCGTGGTTATCCTGCGACGTATCACTTGATTTTGAAAGGTTTATTGAAATATTTCCTGGATTTTCATCTGTATTTCGAGAGTTTTCAAAATCTAGATTCCTGTCAAGCTTACTAACATTAATTTTATNATTTTTTTTACGTAAATAACGCGATTTTCTTTGCCGATAAGCGGCATTTTTTTCAATAAAAANTCCATGGCAAAAATTAGGTTAACTTTGCATAAAAGTAAGGCTATATGCACACGTGAGTNACGTGATAGTGTGTTGAGTTTATACAGAACTTGAAAGTATGTATATAGAAAAGCGCGTTACATATATTGTACATTTACTCTTCTATTTCAAATAGAATGATTTCAAAACTTAAGAATCTAAAATGTTGAGTAAAATATACTTTACTCTAATTCTTTTAGAGCAGAAATTACAAAATTTTAGCAAGTTTCTTCATTTTTGAAATCATTTTATTTAAAATAGAAGAGCGAATGTACGTAACGCGCCCTTCTATATATTGTACTTTAGATTCTCTATAAGCTCAACAAAAAAGTATATCGAGTTACTAGCAAGTCAGTACTCTTACGATTTCTTCATTCAATTAAGACTCAAAATTTAATTTCAAGAAAAGATACGATTGATGAATATATATATTTAGATATTAAAAACGGTTTAGGTAACCTACTGATATATATAATATAAATCTAAAAATATATGAAGAGAACTATATAAACCTATTGGTTCATATAGATGATATGACAATTTACCATAATTAAAAAGGCCAGCTCTGGCCTATATTAATCAAACTTTTCCACACAGATTACGTATGTACTCCTTTCGTGATAACTATGTAAAGAATTAACAAGATTCTGAACTAAGATTCTGAACACTTAGATAACTAAGTGAAGATTCTGAACACTAAGATAACTAAGATTCTGAACACTTAAGTGTCTAGAATTTTATGTGAACAATTTTGAAGAAACTAGGGAAGTAATTACTTGTGTGTGTTAATCTTGATGAACAAATTATATTCTCTAAAAANTGTTGTTTTTATTACTGATGAGTTCAGCCAGAACATTTATTAAGCATAAATGGTTGTACTAGTTACTCTGTCTGTGAATGTTACGTAGTCAAAAAACAAAAATGAGTCTATTCTAAAATTGACTGTGAAATAAAAAATGAGTCTATTCTAAAATTGACTGTGAAAAAAGAATATTTCATTTTAAGAGCAGATAGTAAACATCAACTAATGATCTATCACCACATAACTTCTGTTTTTTAATTTTGANATTGAATTGTTGGTACCGAATATTAGTCCAACATTGAAAGAGAAGTGGTACACCAAGCTTTGGCAAACCAATATTCATTTAAGATAGGCCCTATGTCTGGCTGAGCATCGTACGCCAAACATTGGCAAATGGCCGGATTTGACCATCTCTCTAGACTTGGACCAGTCCCGATTACCAAACTTTGGTAGTCCAAGAATGGACCCATAATTGGCTTGGTTGTCAGTGTTGGTAATTCTTACCTGGGCGACAAGCTGAAACTATAGTTTTCATTTTTGGTAAATTACAAGGCGACTTAATCTTCGTTTGGTTAAAGCATTGTGATGGGGATAAGATCGTTACATTTATCTTGAATATAGAGAAGACCGCTCAGTCTG